GTAGTTTTGGGAAATCCAGAAGTGGAAAAAGTTTGTATTTAATTGACGCACGAATGTTGTTGTAAACAATATCTTTACGTGGTTAATTGGCAGCAATTTGTAGATTTAAAAAAAAGTCTAGCACTGTTCTTTAAAAGTTAGATCTTTTGATCCTCTGCGGCTGCACTCAAAAATGTGCAGTTTCCCTTTTATTGTTATTTAGTGTAATGGCAGTACTACTTTCAAACAACATGTTTAAAAAGAACATGTCAGCTGTTAGTGCTGGTAAATTCTGTTTGATAATTAAATCTGAGGTTGTAATATGATAAGCTGCAACAGCAGATCTGACATAGCAAGAGTGCCTCCTCTGACTTCACACATGCTGTTTTCATTTCTGCTGCACTAGCCTTTTTTTCACCTGAAAGTGCTTGAATAGCCCACAATATTAACTTGTAAGCAGTTTGATTGGAACGATTTCTAATGATCCTAAAATACTGCTGGATGGTTTTCTATAATTTTTTCATATGGTTTAACTAATTTAACAAGGGTTACACTTTACCCACTATACCTAGTCAGGTGGTGTGATTGGGTGCAAAGAGGCCAGATATTATTTTCACATACAGTGAAACCAACCATTCCTGGTTTGGTCAGTTTGCTTTACTTAATAGAACTTGTTTGGGGTACATGCAACGGTGATATCCGCACACATCCTTTTAGAATTATGGCATTAACTCATCTCGATCTGCTGGTGTGTAATTTTCACTGCGGTAAAGTTGCAAGTAGGTCGGTCAATGTAATTCAACATACAGCGAGCATGGTACTTGGTACACTTTGATTTATTTATTTATTCAAATGATCTATCAACATGTAAACTCAGTCAATGGTGTAACATAAAAACATAAAGTCCGTCGAAAGCCTCAAACATACTGGTGGTAAGGCACACTTTTTACACTATGACCCAAAGTTGGTCTAATATCTGAATAATTATTTGCATTTAAGTTTGAATAAGAACCTTACCTCAAGTATAGCCGGTGTAATTTCTTGTATGGGTGTGCTATTCAACTCTCACACTTTAGCTTCCTCTTTTGCCAATCCTGATTATGTATGCCTGAACATACAAAATACACACTTAACAGGATCTTAATAATAGCCATAGTGATGGTTCTGTAAGAAGTTATTTACTGTAAATAAGCATTTAATCAAAGGTTTCAAAAATTATCCAAAAGTGTGTTGGTGAATTTTTTGTTTTAATAGTTTCATGCTATTGGTCAAGTGTAAACTAAGTCCTGAGGTCGTACTTTTGAAATTGCAACACAGTGTACTACTTTGTCGGATTCCTGTTTATTGCTGCTCGGTCTTTTCCGTGGCAGTAAGAGGAAGCTTGTGATAGTTAAAATGAAGTACTAGTAAATAACTGGAATGATCAGAAATGTAATTGTTAAGGAATGCAAAATATTGGGTTGCAATGCATTACTTCTAAAGGAGAGGCAGGTACACCAGTTTGTGTGAATATTTCTCCAGACACATTGTGGACACACAGACACTGCTGTTGTTCATGTTGGAACCTTATGTTATGGTCCAGCTTTAATATACCTGCAGTGAATGACTCGGAGGTTACTCTTGCATGTCTGCTTGTGTTGTCCTGTGAAAAAGGGTTTACTCTCCTCGATCCCATGTATGTGTTTTCACATGTTTCTGGAGTTCTCTGTAATTAATTTGATAAGATACTGCCGTTGCTTCCAGGGAATCCCAGTCACCCTGCCTGTGCTATGCTGGACATGTTTCGCTGGCTGTGCAAAATGTAACAGGTTTTTCTAGGATTAACACATACCATTACAGTGCTGGTGTTCGTATGACACAAAGCAGTTCTTTATCAGTACCATCCTTGGTCGTTTTTTACTAATAAAAAACACTCCGCACATCCTCAGTTTTTCATAGACTTAAACATTGTAAGAGGTCATATTTATTTTTTCCATTATTGATATTTCATCACAATTGGTTGCTTTGTATTACTGGATGAATTGGTTTTGTATTTGATTTGACTACTGTAGAGATCGCATGCTGTGAACAAGCTGCCCCATTAGCTGGTGTAACATAATAATGCTGTGGCACGGTGAACATAGTTTGTTTGCACTGTGTGTATTCTTGCCAAACACAGGACAAAAATAATTGGCGAGCTTAATACCTGTTTATCTAGCCTTATTTTCTTATGTGATGGAAGGATTTGTGGTAGTGTGTAATGGTGCTTTCATGACAAACTGATAATCTTACATTAATGTTATTAATCACTAATGTTTGGAACGAAGATATTGTGACTGAGTAGTTTCCTTCAATCGCTGTAGTGGATAAAGATAGAGCTTTATGAACACAATGAGAAGCTCACATTTGCATAGATCTTTTCATGTGGATAATTATGATGGCCATTCGTGTTTTCTGCACAGCTTCGGACGTCAGATCTGCTTTTTAGTTTGTGCTTAAACAGGCAGAAGATGGTGTCACACAGACGAGAGGCCAGCCCAGACCACTTCAGGGGAGGTGATGGTTTGTCGTGTCCGCGTCCCTGTGCACGATGGGGTGCAGGAGGTCACTTGACCTCCAACCCTGGGGTCAGGTGACTCTTTGATGCCATTGTATGGGGAGCAAATGTCGTAGGAATGGGTTAAAAAGGCTGAGCAGTGACGGTGACATGTCCGGGCATGCTGCTTAAAGGGAGACAGAGAGAAATAGGGAGAGGTTAGAGTCATTGATGTGAAGGATTCCACTTGGACTTGTAAAGAATGTATTAGCTTAAAAATAAATTACACAGCTTACCCGATTAGTTCCTTTTATGCACTTTTGTCAAGTAATAAACAAGGATGAACAAGGTAAACATTTTTTTATTTTTTTTAATGGCTTCGACAAAACAAAAAAAGGCATAGCAACTGACAAGATAAGGACATGACTGGGCAAATGTTCACTATTTGAATCCAAGTTGGTGTACATTGTTTGTCTCTAACTTTAGCATACAATTATTCTTGCGACAAATATAGCGACAGATTTTATGCTTTTTATTTATTTATTTATTTATATAAGAAATAGGATGCAAAATTCTCCTTTGCACCTGTAACTTTCTAGAGCCCATTATTATTTTTTTATTTTTTTAACAGCTTAAAAAGTTGATTCAAATTACAAAGATACAAAATGAAGGAATCCTCCTCCAAGCTATGTGATTTAAATAGTTGTCTTGCCAAAACGGATTTGACCACATATTTAGTATACAGTACAAACTTTTGATGGGAGTGTATCAAATGTCTAGTTTTAATCAATGCCTTCTTGAATTTCGAGTAACATTATTTTATTTGGATATCATTAATGTCATCATTGATATTGATATTCAGGAATAACCTATATTATGCCGTGACATATATGACGATGATTCATATCCTATGAGTATTAATAATACAATGGCTAATGTACATCTTGGAGTGTCTGTGGGTGGGACTTGAAGAAAATGGTACATGTAGGTAATGATAGCAGTGGCACACAATACATTATTGGAAATGTTCGGCAGCATAACAAGAAGTGTAATGATGGACTTGATCTCATCAGTTGCACAGCTATTGTTATATTTTTCTAAAGCATACCTCATAGTCTACTACAGTCTACTATTGTGGCATGGCAATGTAATTAAGAGCAAGAACCATTTTGAAACGATTTAAATGCAAGAAACAACCAAAAGTATATATCCTATAGGTTAAATCGTCTTATAGTGGACAGATGAAAGCAATACGTTTGAGCTGCTGGCCGTTATATGTTATTATAGTTCATCCCTGCTTGCAGCTTTATTGCAACATGACATTGATTGAAATCTTTCACAAGTTAATGAATTAAGGGTATCATTTTGCATTTTTTCTCGTTGATCTTCTCAGCAGCACTGGATTGTGTGTGTCTGGGTGAAAAAGAGAGGGCAACCACAACATCTTGTCACTGGTTTTTTGTAAGGGAAGTAAGTTAGAGATGTTATTGGGTTCAGGCTATCAGCTCCATTTCAGACCAAGGTCATAATTACAGGTCCATTGAGACCTCTAGTGGCAACACATTTGCTGGACCCAATTTCCTACTGGATTATTGTCAGGAGAAAGTTTGTTTTGGCACCTTTGCATATAGGTTTGTCAACAAAGCATTAGATTTAAGGTTCAAATAGGTTGATGTTTACCAGGGCCACCTGGGAAAGTTGACATTATGTTGAAAGAGCTACGTTTTAATGGTACTATATTGAGTGGGCTAATTCTGTCAGGTCAGCTATTGAGAAACACCTCTGGTGCTGGTAGGGTCTCATTGATTAAGGTCGCTTGAAAAGATAAACTCCTGTCAATTGTGCAGACTTGGGACTTGCCGTTAGTTGACACACTTTCTTCACTATAAGGGTTAAAGTGTATTTTTTTTACAGCAGATGCTTGGTTTTCTATGGTAATACTGGTTTATAAGAAAACAAATTTCTCCAAAGCAAATATTTTGCCTAACTTCCTTAAGGGCTATGGACAGTCAGTGTTTTCTGATGGATACAAACTTAGCGGAGGACAATGGTGCTGTAATTAGCCATGTAACATAAGAGAGCTCAACCACTGAACGAGCATTCTCTATCTGACAAGAGTATTTTGAGTAATCATTTCTGTATGCTTCCCCTGACCCTAACCCCATGGCAGCTTCATGTGCTTGCGATTGCGTAGTTAACAGACCATTATGCATTGGGAAAGATTTAATTCAGTGTTTATTTTATTTTCTGAGTTCCAATTTGATAAAAACCCCCCTCCAAGGTGTTTTAACATCAACTCAATACAACAACTTTTGGATGATGATTGATCTAACTTTTGCAAATCTTGGCAGCAAGATTTCATTGTTTTTGTGGAGAGTTTCCCGACAGAAAATACAATTTGGAGTGTTCTGGTGTCCACATACTTGTGCTTACAAATGCACTGTTGACAGGCTGGCCTCAGAATAACTATAACAACATTAATTATCTTTTTTTTCTTGTTTTTCAGGTAATGAACCTCTGGCTGCATTAGGAGGGGACAGAAGACTTCTGCAAAAGATGCTGATGATCATCTTTAGGTAGAGCAAATATAGGGAATTGGTGTGTAGTTATCTGTGATCATGTGGTCTGGACTAGAAGCCAGAGGGATTAGGACAGCAGATTTAACCCAGAAGAAGCGAAGCACTGACACCCTGACTGCACTTCTGGCGATGCTGTAGCAGCACGGAATGGTTTGTGGGTTACACAGAGATGCAGGCCATACTGTGCTGCCGCAGAAGAGCCTGAAAATACGACCTCGCACCCCTTCAACCTGTAACTAAGCCGACATGTTTACTGTTCTAAATGTATGCAACGTAGACAACTGTTTGCCTGATGATTAAAAGTTGTTTGGATTTGCCTTTCCCATTTGCTGGTCGCCTTACTGTAGCAGCACGTAAATATTGGAGTTAAGACTTTAGCTGAAGCCTCCAGTATTGATCGTGCTGCTGAAGCAAAGCTGATCACTCACAATCAGCACAACCAACCTAACCCGTGACGACAGGCTGAATGGTGACGGATACTCACAGGTACATCGTTTACACACAACCACTACTTTGTTCTAATAGTTCAAATGTGTTGATACCATCTTTACATTTCACTGTTCTGTCTGCACACTTGAAAAATAAAAAATTGAATTGGCTTTTGACTGCGATGTGTTTTGACCATGATTAAACTGTTTTTAAAAAGAATAATGTTCACATGGTGTATATAAGGATGTTATTTTAAGTTATACTGACACTGAATACCCCTCATTTAGATAAATTCACCGCCATGAAGAAGAAATCATGCACATGACAGCCGCGTGCCCTCGCTGTGGGAAAGTCCGGCCTGTTTATTATCAGCCGATCACAGATTTGCTGCGGATTAAAAATTAGTACAATCATTATACTATTTCAGTATAAACACCAGTTTTTCTTTTACAAAAATGAATTGTTTATATGTCAAGATATTTTGATTTTGAAAATGTTTTATAAAACAGGTTTCTGCTCGATTTGGACCCAGACGATCTTTATGATTTCCTCGTTTATACCCAAAGGTTTGACATTATTTGTGTATTATGAATTCAATATGCACAAAAGATATTATGATATAGTCCAATTTTAACGGCAACGCTACGCATGACATGGTGTCCCGTAACATGGCCTAAATCCTCCATTTTAAATTGCTTCGGATGCGCGTAATGCGGGCATCTCAGTTGTCCCAGGACATCAGGGGACGATAATCTCAAATCAGATTTACCTAATAAAAAGTCATTCATTTAATTTAAACGCTTTTTTAAATATGTGGCATCTATTGGTTGATCTGGCTTTTTTGCATTTTTTTTTACCACAGGTTTATGTGACTTTGTGCCGTAAAACAGACATCTTCAAAATCAGATTAGTGCTGCTCACCAAATCTGGTTTTGGATGAAAATAAATCCAAAATAGATAAACATGTGTTGTAATTATTTACTTCATTGATACTTTTCACGTGGAAATGATGGGTCTTTTCTGATTTGAACATGTTCTAAAGCCCGGTATTGTGATGCCGTCCACCGAGTGAACGCCTTTTCATTTAATTTGGCCTTGTAGGCCACTTTAATAATAATTCTAAATTATCTTCTGTTAGTTTTTTCGCAATCATAATTATATATTATCTGGATTTAAGGTATTTGGCAACGGGGATTTTTGAAAAATTATAGGCTACTGGAGAAGAAAAAGTGAGATTTGTGACTTTTTCCTAAACGCTAGGAGTTTCTCTGAATTATTATTCGAAATATTCGAATTTAGTACATCATATTTTTGAAATATAAGCCTTCATATGATAATATATATTTTTATTATTGGCATAGCTTATTTCTGTGTAAATATTAACAATGTCAACGTAGGCCTACTTAATTCGTATTAATTTTGGAAATTATTCAATTGGGTTACCCTTTTTTTTACAGAATGTTAAATGTAGTGTGTGTCTGACTATGTTCCGTCTTTAGAAAAGCAATGCACATCAAAATATGGAAGCAGTCCTGATAGTGATGCGTTAAATTCCACATGTTGTCTTACAACTGTTGTGCTTAACTTTTTATGCCGTTTTGCCTTTATTATGCCTTATTCAACTTTTTTTTTTACATGTATTTATCGTGCATATTTTTAATTACCTGTACAATTGTAGAATAACACGTCCGTTTTTTGCACATGTAGCCTACTACTGTACTTTCACTCACATTTTTCAGAAAGTGTTAATTTCTCTGGTAAATTAATATAATAAAAGAAAGTAACATGGAAAATTATGCATTTTATTACAGGGATACAAAAAGTCTTTAATCCCCCTCACACACTCAGAGCCTCGGTGCAAAACTGTGGCTCCTGCAGTGATGTGACTGAACAGTGGAGACATCAAATTGGCTTTGCACTCATCTGGATATTATGTAATCTGGATTGTTAGCAAATTCGACTTTAAATGTAGTTTTTATTAAGCCACACCATAGGCCTGTGTAGATGTAGAGCGGCTCACCATGCGACCTGGCTTTTCGGTAATGATTAAAAAAAAGTCTAAAATCGGAAACAACATTTTGTCTTAATTTGGATTTTGTTAACGTTTTTAAAGGCTATATTCAAATTTGCGTGCCATGACAATTAAAATATTAATGTAGAGTGGTCCATTTATTTTCATGCTGTATTTGCCTGGCAACAGAAGGCTATATATATGTACATGCGTGCCATGACGTACATCCTGAATTATGGTCAGTGCTGACATCACGGGTTCACTTTGTGGTCTGATTTTAGGATTTCTATCAATTTACTCTACTTCAAAATCAACTTCTGCTCAGGAGAATAGATACACATAAGGATAAGTAATCAATGCACTATTCACTGTTCGCTATATGGCCTATTTTTCTGTTAAGACCATTATTTGGTGATGAGCCAAAAGTCTCCCATCCTAACCTAAATGGGAAATCATTTGAATAGCCTTGCTTCGATGTTTCCACACACACTTGCATTTTGATTTAAGGCTTACAATTCAGTGTTCTGCAAATTCAAATGCATTGCAGAAAATACGTCTGAACTGCAGTCTTAAGTTAACAGGCTGCAGATGTTTGACTTTATAGATCGGACAAGTCATGCAACGAACGAGTCACGTGAATCTCCGCAAATAGATCTTGTGTGGAAATAAAGACACTTCCCTGCAGACGTGACAATCGTGTATTGCCTTATAGTATTATTATCAATGATGGGGGGGAAAAACAGCTGTCAGTTTTCATGGATATATCATAAACATATACGGTGTTCTTTTTCCCCTCCTTCAATTGTATCTGAAGCCTGGTGAATATTTCACACGGGCCCTGTTATGCAACGCGTGTAACCTTGAAGAGGTTGCAGCATCACTGTGGTGCTGACGCGCTCTGCAGGGAAGAGGCCAGGAATTACACTGTCAATTATTTTATTACACACGTAAGGCTTGCTTGTGCCTCTAAAAAAAAAATGGGCTGAGTTGGCATGACGCACTAAATAAAAAAACAAACATGGACGTGACTTAAATTTCACTGTTTATTTATCAAAATCATCTTGGAGTGTGTTATACTGGGAAAAAAAGAGAAAGTAGATTGCACATCGATAGTGTCTATCTATGTAAATGTAGGTTACCGTTATCTGTTACTGCTAACTGTTCATTAGTGGTTGATTTTTATTTAATTCGTTGGCTTCAATGAGGTTGGAGCTTGGCCAAAAACGAAAAAAAAGACATAAAAAAAAAAGTGTTTCCATATATTGAAGTGCATATCTGTCATTAGTGTTATGCGCGTCAAGGGTCCCTTGGAATGTAGCTGTGAGTGCACGACAGAGATGCCACAGGCTATTCATTAAACAACGTGTCAATAACACTGACAGTATAGTGAAATAAGTTCACGATACATTCCTGACCTGCACCCACTAAACTTGAGCACATGTCAGTAATCTCCCGCAGGTACACCCCAGTGTGGGTCAGGTGCGAGGAAACAGCAGTGAGCATCGGTCCAACCTGCGACGGCACGTAGGGTGCCAGGTTGTGCGGCTGCAGCACGAGCAGAATCGGCAGTAACACACTTATTAATAAAGTGATCCATCTCGACGCTGGCATCCGTGATCCCCCCACTCGGTAGTGGCCATTCTCGTGGGGGACTGAGATCTTGTCCACTTCTCTGAGCCTCAGTGAGTCCCACTTCTTCACATCGAAATTACGCACGAGAGGACCGACGTCCGTGTCTTTCCGAGAGGGCAGCGGAGTCTCCTTCAGGACCTTAAACTTCTCCCGAAACTCCTGCATCTGCTGCAGAAAGCACAGGGGGTCGGATACACTCCGGAAAGTCTCGGCGATGCCCAGCACCCGTGTGTGCTCCTCCACCGCCGCGCTCAGCTTGGTGATCTCCGGGTCGTACGCCTGCAATACCACCAGCTTCAGCGTTTCAAAATCGGAGAGGATCTCATTCTTTTTGCATTCAATGTTACTGATGAGTTTGTCGAAATAATCTGTCACCTTTGCTGCGTCCTTGGTCACATACTGTAGTGCCTTTTTCTTACTGGCTTGCAGTGTCTCCAGGCAGGTCAGGATGTCTGCGCTCTGCCAGCTCTCCACCCCGCGCAGCAGCTCTTCATACGCCTCCTTCTCCTGCTCATACGCCTCCTCCAAGGAGCAGAATGTATGCCCTCTGTGGTCATCTGTTGTCGCGCAAAACCCACAGATTAGGTTTAAATCCGTGGCGCAGAATATGTTTAGAGGCTGGCCGCAGTGTTGTTTACAAACAGACATTTTAGGCATAACCCTTATTTTGCTGTATTTATCCACAATCCCACGTAGAGAGTAGTTGATCTGCAGGCTGTTGGCGCCGTTGTGAGGGGTCTCTTTGCGGCATGTGGGGCATTTGATAGGTGCTCTGAAATATGGACCTCGGTTTCCCTCCAACAGTCCCTCCAAGCATTTGTTGCAAAAGCTGTGAGAGCACAGCAAAACCCGGGGGTCTTCGAAGAGACCGCAGCAGATTGGGCACGTAAGTTCCTCTTCTAGCTGCTCCATGGTATCCTGTAAACACATCACCCAAGCGTCAAATCGGTGCTTAATTAAAGCAAAGAAAACCCAATAAATCAACACTCGTAAAATAGGCTGCCCAATACGCACCCACACAGAGATGCTGCGCCATAAAGACAGACAGGCATTAAACTACACAGGAAAATGCTGTAGCATCGCAAAGGATACAGATTTTGCAGTCATGTTCCAGCTGTATGAGGAGTATTCCCATCCTGAAAGTGAAACTGACTTGCATCGCTTTGCCCGCGTAAAAGATTGGCATGAACTCTGCCAAAATCTCCATTTGGACATATAACGTTAAAAAACAGCCTGCTTTCTGCTGTCATTCTGTAACCAGCTCACGTTGAAGAAAACAAACGCAAAAATAAGGCTGGATATAAATCAATAAATCGTGAATAACTTTATAAATGCAAACTATTTTCTCCTAGCGTTGTATAACAGAACAGCAGGGCAGTGGTTAGCTAATCTAGCCCTATATTACCGCCGTCTAACCAATCCAATGCGACAAATTATCGACAAGCAGGGTTCGCGTTAGCGTTGCTCCTGTTGGCAAGGTACTGAAGTAGAGCTGTGACAGATTCTGCAAGCGCATAGTAACATGCAACTACTGGACCAAAAGAATCACTCACCAGCTGCTGGGACGCACAGTGCAACGCAATCATGGCGCTTGTTGCTGTGCAGACTTCGCCCTTTTCCGGGTTCAGAGTTAACCGTTTGAGTGGCGAACAGAAAATTAAAAACACACTAATTCGTCTGGTTTTGTGCATATGTACAGTGGGCTGTCCACTACACTGTGAACAGCATCAAAAGTACTGGTGTTTTGAATTTTTTGGGGTGCGTAATTTCAGATATTGGGGTTGTTTACGTTTCTGTCCCTGCTGGGTACTTTGCAGAGGATCCCTGACAGTCCGATGGGGGAGGGGCTGTTGCTATGCAAAACATTACAGCGTGAAAAACTGTCAACTAGGTTTTAGTCCCACTTTCTGTATCACATGTTTTTACATTAACCTACTTTAGTTGCTTGAGTGGATACTGTTCAATCTGTTGTACACAGTTAATAAAACAGATGCAAGCGAAGGCACTAGGCTGCATAAACCTATTAAAAGTACTCTTCAATGCTATGTTGCACTGAGCTGTCAAGTGGCACATTATCTTGGCACGACAGACCCACACGATTATCTATATCAAACATCAGCAACATAACGTTATGTTCCAGCCATTCGTGATGCTCTTTAGCTGATAATCCGTATCACTAATTACACATTTGCCAACAAAACATTTGATATATTTTTTAAAAAAAAAACACTTTCTTTTCACTTGAGGTTATGTAACATCGATACCCAATAGTTACTTAGTCACGTGTAGAAATGTTGACCTTGATTTTCTTCCCTTGTTTCCATGCCATCAGGAGCAACTGCCTATCTTAGCCACTGTGATTGGATACAGTTGGGTTGCAGGAGCTTATGTACTTCCGGCCTCTGTCGCTGTGCGTCGCTGTTGCGTAAGAGGAGTCTGACATCTTTTACGTCAAGTGCTCTTTGGTTCGGTGGTATTTGTTTCCGGATGTGTAGCTAGAAGCAAGAATGGCTGCGCTGTTTACGTGTTGTCTAGGCTGCTGCGGGGATGGCGGATCGGGGCATATCCCCCTGAAAGAAATGCCTATCGTTCAGTTAGATACTCACCACATGGGTACGTAGTTTTGTGTTTAAATCTCAGAGCTGTTAAAGTGATGACAATACGCCTAGTTGTGACATGACGATATGCTACTTCCGCCGTTAGCATCATAGCTAACTGATAGCTGCTCGTTGTGTTGTAACGTTTGTTCAGTTAAATGTGTTTTTATATTTTGCCTCGAGTGGTTTCAGTAATTTCTTACAACGTTCCTCTTCATTTTCTTCCTACAAGGTTACTCATTTGTGAATTAAAGGTGAGTCGTGATATTTAGTCTCCTGCAGCTGAACTCATGACACGACTATCAGGATAGAGACTGAATTACTGATTATTATTCTCTGTCAATTAATCCATTTAGCAAGTGAAAGGTTATTAAATAAGCCCATCGGGTAACAATGATATATGTCAAATAAAAACAGGAAACAATTTCACTTGAGCTGCTGAAAGATGTATCAATCAGGAGGAACATGTCCTATTTCTTCCATCGACTTTTAAGTTCCCTTCAACACATTTTTTAAGTCAAATTAAAGTATTGTGCTTTAAATCATGATTTGTGTTGTCATTCAATCCTGAAAGAAAAATCAGGCACATTGTGTTAAACTGAAATCCAATATTGCTTTTTTTTTTATGTGGGTTTTAACAACAAGATATATTTTTGCTTTTGTTTTGCAGGCACAGATGTTGTCATTGTGAAGAGTGGCCGGAGGATATGTGGCACTGGAGGCTGTCTGGCCAACGCTCCTCTGCACCAGAACAAAAGTTATTTTGAGTTTAAGATCCAGTCCACTGGTAAGTGCTTGGCTTCCAGCTGAAGATCACCCAGTTTCCAAACCTCTGCTGCTCTCTTTTCTTGCCAGATTGACATTTTCCGGTGCATTCCTAGTGGGAGTTTTTGGACACGCTGCAGTTTTTAGCAGCTTCAACGTCTTGTGACTGCATGCTCACTTATGGATTTCTGTAGACTTGCCAAGAAAATATTTTAAAACACAACTCATCCAGCTCCACACTAGCCACAGACTGTTTAATGCTAACATACCATGTTAAATGTATCATGCATGAAAACATACCTAATTATCTTTAATTGCAACTGTCCTGTCTTTGTGGTTAAAAGGGTTTTAAAATGGCAGATACTCAGTGTTGTGCTTTGTGTTCAGGTGTGTGGGGAATTGGTGTAGCGACGCAGAAAGTGAATCTTAATCAAGTGCCTATGGGCAGAGACACAAACAGCCTAGTCCTGAGGCATGATGGGTCTGTGTACCACAATAATGAAGAGAAGAATCGCCTACCTGCAAACAGCCTCCCTCAGGAGGGTGACATTGTGGTAAGTGCAAGATTATTTAGCTTGATCCTGAATTATGTTTGATTGCTCTTTAGCTTTGAGTGATTTAAGTGTTGCCAATTCTCGTAAAGCTAAACATTTCAAACGTAGTCTCTGAATCAGCACTCAAGCCAGAGAGTTACTATTCCAAAGATAAAGAGTGTGTTCTCAGACATTGCCAAAATTATATTTTTTTCAGAGTAAAGGTGCATCACTAATGCTTTATCTCTGTTCTATCAATTAGTCTGTACATCTAGCTACAGTATCTTGTGGTCTATCAACAGGCATGCAAGAGTAGATTATTGGTATATTCAGAACTCCTTAAACTCCTTCAGACTCATGGACTGCACGTCACATTGATGGTGACAGTGTAATGCTTTTTCTAAAGTATTCGGTAACTAATTGTCATCAGTTTATTAAAATAATAACAGATTTGTAGTTATACTGAGACAATTTGTAATACTTGATAAGCCATTCTTGTTGTTTTTCAGGACTCAGAAATCATTTTGTTGAATATCATGTTAATTAACACAGACTTGGGGTCTGAAAAAATGTTTTGCGGCGGGTGCTGCAGAACATCCTGCGGGTGCAGGCGGCTGCAGCTCGAAACCCAGCGGGCGGAGAGCAGTTCTGAAAATGATGCAGACTTCTATCTTTCACTGTCAGCAAGCATGTCATTATCTGCTCAAAGCAGTGTGTGACATATGCTACCCGACATAATGAGACAAATCTTGGTTTTTCTTTTTCACAAACCTAAAATATAAACGCATCAAATGTATTTCTGTCACGCTACTTTTATGACAGCATATGGTTCTGCTGAAGAAGAGAGAAAAACAGCTTTAAGCTACAACTACTGGAACTTAAGGCTTGGTGACTTTAAAAAACCTTAAGTGGTAGCTCTTTCAAGTGAGCTGTACTAGAGGGGCCCTAAAGACATATTTAATAATCATGCAGGAATAAACTTATTTAGCTCACGAGACAATGTATGATCCCCTTTCGTCAAATTCAGGTCAGCCAATCTGTCAGTCAGTAAGACTTCTAAAATGAGTGATGCATGTTCATTTGGGTTTACTACAGCTTTTAAAAACGGAGGCCCTAAAACCAGCATGTGTTTTACTGTCCACCTGTCCACTAAAATGTTGTCACATTTGCATGCACAAATTCAGTTATTAATTCCAGTTTTGTTTGTGTTCCTCAGGGCTTCACATATGACCACGTGGAGATGAATATATATCTGAATGGAAAGAACATGCACTGTCCTGCCTCAGGGATCCGAGGCACTGTATACCCCGTTGTTTACGGTACGTTTATTTGTTGGCCGGATATGCTGAATACTTTGAAAAGGGGCTTGGTAATTTGGGGAAATGTTTTGACTATTTTTCTCAATTGTAAACTTTATGTACTGACAATTGCTCTCCCAGATATACCCTTTTGGCAGTTACACTTTTCTCCACTAGAGGGCTGTATTTGTACATTTTTACAAAACACTGCTCATTTCGGGATGTTAGTTGTACTAAAAAGAAGTTTCCACCCATGTAAGAGTCACATTGACTCATTGAAACAAGTTCAGACAAACATTCTTGACATTCAGGTTTTATTCTAGTCAAAGGAAGATTTTATTTGTCACACTGGATTCTTTTCATAAATATAATCTCTGTAAAATGTACTGTTGTGTTGAATCTGTGCAGGCATATCATTTATATTAAAGGGCTTATTATTATAATTTTTTATTAACATAGACTGAACTTCACTGATAGGGACATGCTGCACTATTTTCCATATCTAATCTAGTATAGTATGAACTATTGAATACTAATGATGCTTTCAAATATGGATTTGTAATTTTTTCTTTCCTCCCTCTTTGAGTCTATTTTAAGATTGACTATAAGAAATTATCAAAAAAGCTGGTAAAAAAAATGGCCTTAAAACATAATTTCTGCAATAATCACACATCAGGTTTACAACGGGTAAACATAGCAAGGCCTTTGGAGAGTGTATGTCCACGAGTTGATGCCGCTTCTCTTCCTCAGGACTGATTTCAAAATTGTAACATTGTATTTTGAGGGATTTTGTTCAGATTGCTGCTGGTACGAGGCATCTGACCTAGTTTCTACAGAACAAATAACTTTGTAAAATAAACAAGATAATGACATCTATTTGATTTCCTTTGACTTTATCAGTATTAAATGTCTTGCCAGAGAGACTTGGGTAAATGTATTATTTTAACTTTTTTGAAACTTTGAATGGGTTTCATTTCAATTTCATTTTTATTTGTTTATTTATCCCTGTGTGAATTAATATCTGTGCTATCCTGTGTTCACCCTTTTTGCTGATGCTGCTAAGACACCTGGATTGTCCAAAAGAATCCATACGGAGATCACTCAAGTTTTATCTTATGAGCTTAAAGAAACACAGATAAGATCAATGCATGAGCTGTGGTCAAAAACTGTACAAACATAATTTGATATTTTCAATTAAATGCTGCTAATACTAATATTCTGTTATGTATGTTAACATGCACTCAAGCTTGTGCTAATTTCTTTCCCTTCTTTCTTTGCAGTGGACGACAGTGCCATCTTAGACTGCCAGTTTAGTGACTTCTACCACCCAGCTCCACA